CTCTCTTTTTCATTTTCATCAGAACTCTGGCTGCAGCATTTTGGATCAGCTGAAGGCTTTTAACTACAGTTTGTGGACTTCCTGTCAAACTGTAAAAAAAAAAAAAAAAAAATGTTTGCAGTAGAAGTAAAAAGTTGCCTAAAAAATAATGACTCCAGTAAAGTATAGATAGCCAACACTTCTTTATATGTAAGGTAAGAAAGAATTTGTACTTTGTTACTTGACAACTTTGCACAACAAGCTGATCCACCTCCTGTGAATTGCTTTTCTGTGATTGAGGATGGTGACTATTCTAAGAAGCAACATGAGTTCAGGGTTGTTATAGGTTCTGCAGGGTGTTACTGTGGAAATCTTTCAAGATGAGGAGCTGAGGGGCAGAATCAAAACAAGTTGTCAGCCTCTTCATGCCCTGAAGCCAGGGCTGAAGGCAGATTTATCGTTATGCCGAATTTGTGACACATGCCAGGTTATGGGTAATCCAATCCAAAAAGTTCCCCTGTGCTCTCTTTCAGCTGCAGTTGTACTATTTTGACATAATTTTCAACTGTGTAAGTATTAGTGTTTACCGGCTGTACATCCAGTATCACAGGCCCTAAGTCGTGTTTACAACTATAGAATATTAATATAGAATTTAACTTTAATAGAATAATAGTGACAAGAAAAAAAAGGATGATGGGTAGAATACAGAGGAAGGAAGAAAGTGTGGCAAAAAGCAGAAGAGAAGATACAGTTATATCAAGACTCAAATTTGGTCACTCAGTTAACCAAGTCACTTTTTGAAATGAGGAAAAATATTACAGGAAATTATGGTTTATTTTTTTAGCTAAAAAACTGTAGAGCATGTTGTGCAAAAATCCTGAAAATAAGTTAAATATATTCTAATCCAAAACCTTACACAAAATAAAACAAGAAGTTTTAGGGCAACAGACATTTCACCTACTAAGTTTTCAGATTTCATGTATCAATGGCTCATTTGAGAGGATTTAAATTATTTACGAGTTCATTCAATTATTTATTTCAATTATTTTTGTGTGTGTGTACTATAAGAAACATTTTCCCCACTTCTTACCACTTGGCATAGTTGTAACAAAGTACAAATACTTTGTTACCTGACTTAAGTAGAAATTTTGGCTATCTATACTTTTTACTTCTGTTCTTTATATTTTGTACCATTTATCTCTAATTTCTACTTCTTACATTTTAGAAATAGACTGGTTAGTTTTTTCGTTTCAGTTCATTTCCAGTATGGCCTGTTGGTATTTAAAAAACTAAAAAACATCAGAATAATTTGTTTCATCCAGACAACAATTTCTTTGTAGCTGGACTTGGTGCTGCCCCAACTTGTTGTTCATCACATATAAAAATATATATATTTTAAAAGATGATGCTACTGTAAGTTAAATTTGACACTGTTACCATTAGTTATAAAACTAAGAAAATGAAGTCTAATGTTATCATCCTGAATTGTAGAAAAATGTTCCTTTAATAGGGTTTTTTACTGCATTACTTTAACTTTTATACTTTAAGAAATTTTAAAAATTGTACTTTTACATTTTTAATTTATTAAAAAGCTTAATTTTATACTCTGACTCTGGATTTATACTTCTACTGGAGCAATAAATATAAATACTTTTGACACCTCTGCCACTTGGTGGCGGTAGAGAAGCATAAAATTGGCCAACCGCTCATAAATAACACAAGAAGAAGAAGAAGTTGACATTGCGCATGCGCTCGGAAGCTTGGTGGGTCTTTCTGTTTATTTTTGAATTTTTTGTTTCTAGAAGAAGCCGCGCACATTAGAGGTACGTCTTAAATCGGATTGAACGTTTGCCTGCGAGCTTGTTTTCTTTCCTAGATGACAAATCGTAGCGGTCAAAAACTTTCAAACAGGGTGACGCTGGAGAAAGTTAGGATTAAAAACGTTTAGTTAGCTTAGCGTGTTAATGTACAGCCAGTGTGTAGTGTTCACACAGAATGAATTAACAGACATTTATGTTTAAAACATTGTCCGTTGTTCTTTAATATTCATTTTTTTCTCTCTCTGTGTTTTAACGCCAATGAGTGCGAGTTGAATGGTGGCTTTGTTTCAAGTGAAATAATTGTATTTTTCCTTAGAAACGTTATACTTGTATGAACTACCTGGATATTTAGCTAATTTAAAATAAGCTAATGGTTGGTGGGTTATACATTGTTTTGGCTCTGGGGGTCTACATTGCCTTTCTAACGTTTTCAGAAAGCCTTTAATATGAGAATCCCTAAATTCATGGTGCTTTTCTGCAACTTAAGCAGCTAAATGTAAGTAATATTAATGCATTGCTTGATTTGATGTTAATAATTCAGCTTTTAGCATCAGTCACTGAACCGTTGACATCTTTAAAACTGCTTAACATAACCAATTTGATGAAAAAGTGAGCAGCAGCTCCCTCAATGTGATCAATATCTGGACTTTGAATGAGAAATGTTAGTATTTGAACCATTCTACTGTATGTTGGGGGTTACTGTCCTGCAGCCCCTGCAGAGACATCCTCCAATCTAGTCTCAATTATGTCTGTTTACTCTTAATTGTGACCAGTTTCCAAATCACCACTAAAGTCTGCACATACCTTTTCAAAACAAGGGGAGCCTCATTTATCTTTATATTTTCTGTCTTCAGGGTCATCAGGATGGCCCGCAGCGTCGTTAAACATAAGTTATAGATATTTGATCACACGCTTAATGAGGTTTCTAGAGTTCTGCATAATTTAATATCCTCCATAACTCTCACTGAAAGGTCACCTTGCAGTTCAGACTGAGTATTTCTTTCCTTCATTGCTACAGGAGCTAAATCCTTTTTCTTTTCTCAGGTTTCTGGCTTCACGGATTTCAAGGTCAAGCCTTTTCTATGCCTGATGATGCTGCCCATGAAGACAATGACTCCGTTAAAGCTCTCGAAGCAAAACTCCGTTTTGGCTTCAAAGATCAAAAATAAAATCCTTAGTGGGTATTCTCAATCATTTTGTTTGTGGCTCACAGAAGACTTAAAGCAGCTCTAACATCATCTTCCTCTCGCACCAGATACATCCTCCTTCTTCAAGGTTTCCCTGAAGACCAACAACAAGGCCCTGGCTCTTGCGCTACAGGCGCAGAAGGAGAGGAGCAGGCAGCTTGAGATGCAGGTGATGGACCTACAGAAACAGGTCGACACTCTCTGCTTCAAACTGGCTACCAATAAATATAAGCATAGAAAACTGGTAAGTGGGATTACAGCAGTAAGCAGAATATTTCTCCTATCATGATGAAAGCGAGTGAAGCAGGAACATTAAGAGGTTGACAGCTTGTTTTGATTCTGCCCCTCAGCTCCTCATCTTGAAAGATTTCCACAGTAACACCCTGCAGCACCTGGACATGGTGGAAGAACTCGTCTCTGACCAAGTAGGAAGGCCTCAGTTATTTTTCCTTGTTTTTGTTACATAAAGATAAGTTTCTTTCTTACATTACATCTCATCATTCTCATATAATATAAAATAAATTGAGTTACTTTTGCTTCTTGCTTAATCATGCTGTACTGTAACTTTTTACTTTCTTCTTCTAAGCTTCTATTTGTCCAGCAGCCTCTCGTTTTCACATCGCCCCATCCTGAAACCTCATCCTAGATTATATTCCCAGATTATTTATAAATACTGCTTTGATTGCAGGATTCTCCTTCTCAATTTCAAAGCTCTAATTAACTTGATACAAGTGATGAATCCAGTAACCCCGAAGCGTCGGTGCGTGCATGGAGCCAGTAGAGCAAAACATCGTATCATTGCCTGTGTCATTTCAAGAAAGTCATGTGACCGATACAGGAGTTATTCTAACTGACTGACTCATTAAACAGTTAAAAAAATGTATCTGTCAACATGATGCATCTGCTAAAAAAAAGCAGTCTTATCTTTTGCGGTTTATTGTTAAAATGATCATGAATTTTGGAGCCTAAAAGGAATAGGAACGTTTCAGCCGTTGCGTTTTTATTTTAATTTTCTTGCTGTGTCATCCTTTTCCTCTCATTTAACTTACTTGAATTAAAGTTAATTTCAAATTGACTCTTAGTTAATTTACTGTTTTTACTGTACTTAATGTTTCAAAAATATGATTTTAAATCCTAGTTTCACAATCCTCCTCATTCACATTTTCCCCTAAATTATGACGTACGTTTACATTGTTTATTGGCTGCATCTAAAATTATCAAATTTATTTACATTTTCTATTTAAATATAGATATGAAATGATACCATAACCTACAATAACTTCAATTATATCGGTGTACTAGATCATCAAATCAATTCAGTTTAGTCTGTGAAATCAGCTGCCTGTTGTGTCTTTATTTGTCCAGCAGGTGTCAGTATTCTGTAAGATATTATCAATGCACTTTACAGTACAGTTTGGCTTCAAGATGCCTCATTAAACCATCGCTACTTGGCACATGATAGCCTCCCTGATCTTCCTCATTACTCATCATCCTGAATGCTTTTTTTGTCCTTCTCCTTAGTAAAGATGTCTTCAGCCAGAAACCTGAAGTTTTCATGTTGAAACGTGTTTGTTGGTTTTGAGCTGCAGCTAAAATCCAATCAGATATTCGTAGTGATTCTGAAAGTGACTTTTATTATTATTATTATTTTTTTACTTTTTCTCTCACTCCCAACTTGGTGATCGGCTGCATATTTATCATGCCTTTCCTGGAAATGCCTTTCCAAATGTTTTGAAATGCGCTGAAACGTGCTGCAGACTATGACCACTGATCTCTGTGGCAAATGATGCAAATGTTCGTTGAACGAAATTTTTACATTTATTGTTTAAATGTATTTATTATAGAAATGTTGACAGCATTGGGAAACATGTGGGTTGCTCAGTAGGGCAGCAAGAAGTTTCTGGATTCAATTTCTGGCTCTGGGTCTTTCTGCATGGAGTTTGCATGTTCTCCGTGGGCATGCCTGGGTTCTCTCTGGGTACTCCGGCTTCCTCCCACAGTCCAAAAACATGACTGTTAGGTTACTTGACTTCTCTAAATTCTCCTTAGGTGTGAGTGTGTGTGTGAATGATTGTTTTTCCTGTTTGTCTCTGTGTTGCCCTGCGATGGACTGGCGGCTTCTCCAGGGTGTTCCCCGCCCCTCGCCCGTAGACAGCTCGAGATAGGCGCCGGCACCCCTCGCAAACCCCCACTTGGGATAAGCGTGGCGGAAAATGGATGGATGGAAAATATATTGAATGTTTGTTTGACCTCCTGCACACTATCTCTTAAACAGACAACAATTCATTCTTCAAAATTTTTTTAAAAAACCCCAAGGTTTCAATCAAACCTTCTTTCAAATCTGCCCTAGGGGATAGAAGATAAACAATGTTAACTTGAGAATGAACAACAAACAAACTGAAGATGTCCGTTTTCCTTCAGGATTCTCCAAGAGTGTCAGATGGCAGCGACACCTCAACCCATGAAACCCAGGAGAAGGATGCAGCAAGTTGGTAAGTAGTTCTAGTAGCTTTTTGGAGCTTCAGTAGATATAAATACGATTTCCTTTAATTATATTTTTATATCATTACCCGTAGGCGTAATGCTCAGTTAGTTCTGCAGCCTGAAATATCAAGGATTTCCCTCCGCCCAAACAAAAACTCAGAGGCAAGAGCACGTGTTCTAGAAAAGAACGGGAGTGAGGATGTTTCTGGTGTTCTGAGCAAAACCCCTGATCTACTTTATGGTGGGTTTTTGACACCCTTGAATTTAGAGAACAATCATTTGGGATTTGTTTGCAGACACTTTATAAAAGAATGTCTTTTTTTCAGGAAACAAGGACGCTGAGAATTTTGCGAGTTTAAGCTGCCGTGTAGAAGCTCCTCCTCCTGCAGCGTGTCGTCCATCCAGCAGCAGCAGTCTGAGGAGTGAAGTGGAGCGGCTGTCCAGGGCGTTTTCTCAGCCCAGCTTGGAGAATAACGCTGTCCTCTGTCCTCAAAACAATCCAACCTGGATAAACTCGCCCTCCGTTTCTGGTGACATCAATGTTCCAAGCGGCTCTGCCTTGGAAGATGAGCCTCAGTTTAAACAACCTGACAATACTGTGCTGCTCAGCACATCAATGGAGATCACTCTGACCAAAGCTGCTGAAATCATCACCGTGGAAAGCAAAGCAAATGCAAGGAGTCCGCAGGAACGTGGTTCTGCTACAGACGTTCAGAAGGGTTTAAATCAAACGTCACCTGCAAAAATTTCTACACAAGTAAGTGAACAACCAGCAGGAGATAAAGACCCAGACATTCCTACACACCAGTTAACTAAGAAACTCCTCAGGAATGGCAAAACATCTCGTATTCCTAAACTTGGCAATCAGCAGAAGGCATCCACTGACTCCTGTGACCCTGCAAAAAAGCAAGTCGATGATTATTTTTCTGACCATAAAGTAATTTCTTCAAAAGATGGCGGTGATGAGTCAAGAGAAGGTTCCGCAGGTTTTAACGTCACCTACAGAAGGTCCAAATCTAAAGTTAAGAGGAGGTCTGCCGCCGTTAAAAATAGCCCATCAGCCTCAGTACTTCTGTCCTCACATGATGATAATCAGAGCCGGCAGTCCAGACTGGAGACGGTCCAGAACGAAGAGGAAGCAGAAAGAGGAGAGCCGCTGCATGGATGCGGGTTCTATCTGGAGGAGGTTGGATGTTCAGAGTTGGTGGAAAATCAGCCTCCTGACAACGGAAGAGAAAAGCAGAACAAACGCAGATGCAGAGGGACGTTTGTCATCTCTGTCTGCAGAGACTCCAGTAGCCTCCCAGATGTGGACCATGACCCGATCCTCCCTGCAGGGCTCCGCTGTGACGCCCAGGGGGCGCCGGACGCGGCGGCTCCGAGTGCAGAGCCAGAAACCAGCAGATCTTCAAAGCGTCCTTTGGGGGAAATTTCAGAGAATAACCCCAAAGCCCTGCAGGCAGATCAGCACGGCTGTTCAAGTTCAGAATACCGCAAACCAAAAAAACCCAGAAGAGAAGAAGAGGAGGGATCCAGAAAAAAGAAGTCTGCCGAAGTTTCAGACGACAAGAAAAAAACAAAGAAAAGCAGCAGAGAGGTTTCATCGGATGTGGAACCTGTTCCGGATCCTGCCTGCAGAGCGGATCCCTCTTTCTACAGACTCTATAGCTCTGACATGTGGAGAGGAGAGGAAGATTTTCAAATGCTGCCCAGCCAGGAGAAGGACATTAGCGAAGATCTGCATGATCCAAAACTCTCCAAATCCACGACGGATTGCAAACCGCAGAGGAAGACAAAGCCACACGCTGCCACTAAAGCTAGGAATCCAAGAGAGAAACCCGCCCGCTGTAGACGGACGACGACGGGCAACAGTAAGGGTAGTTCTCTGAGTGGCAAGAGGACGTCCATCGTTACAGAGGAGAGGGCTCGTCAGAATGTGGAAGATTTATTAATGGACATCCCTCCACCATGGCTGTTTGAAGACATCAGCATTGTGTCAGCAGAGTCCGACTCTCTACCCAGCTCCCCGGCCAGAAGCTTATCATCCAGGTCCGTGGTGAGCGAGGAGTTGACTGAAGCCTCATCAGGTGGGTTTCCCCTCTACTGCATGTGGGTTACAGCATCTTTATCACAGTCTGTAGACCTGAACACACCGCTTATCTACAGCTTTTTAATCTCCATGTCACTCTGACCGGGTATAGAGGGGCTCTGATTAGGCAGGGTAAGCAGATCTGCAGAGATTATCACTTATTTGTTTGTACTCAGGGTTCCCCCGGGTCCTTAAAAAGTCTTAAAAGTACGGTGGCCCTGAAGTGCAAACTGCAACTACAAATCTAAAAGCGCAACTACATTAAGGAAATCGCAACTACATAAAGCAAAGCGCAACTACATTAAGGAAA